ACACACACACACACACACACACACACACACACACACACACACACACACACACACACACACACACACACACACACACACACACACACACACGGAGCCATGCTCTCTGTGGCTGACTGATAATGAGCTATGCCACGGATGCTTGACGGTTGGAGGAGTGAAGAGCAGTGATGTCAGAGTCCACTCTTCATCCTGTCACTGTTTTGGGTTAATGGCCCCCCCCCCCTCCCGCTGCTGCACTGGTACTGAGGCTCTGATGAAGACTTGTTTTAGCAGCTTTATATTTAGACTGTTGAATTTTCAAGTGTTCTCATATGTCACATTATCCATTGAACAGCTTGGCCTATAAAATAAATAATGTAACCTGACCCTCGTTTATTGTTCTCCTTCATTGAGAAAGGGTTTTTCTCTACGTATCTGTAGCAGCTGCTCTGCTCTCTACAATGGAGCATATAATATACAGTGTCTGTCGCACCTGCTCTGGTTCAGAGGACGAATACTTTCACTAGAAGTCAACATGATGCAGATACACACACACACACACACACACACACACACACACACACACTTACTTCCCCTCAGGAACCTGAGACTAACGGAAAAAGCTGTGTGCCCGTCCCTAATGAGGGGAGACATGTTGCTTTCTGGAACAATTTATTCGAAGCTGTCGGCTCATTGGAGAATTAATAGCGTGGTTTTCTCAAGGTGCTCTCGGTGTGAAAGGGAAACAGAGACGCTGATTGGTTCCTCACGTTACTGTTATCAATTTAAATGACTTTGAGAAGTAAACAAGTATGAAAGTGTTTTTTAAATTTCACTAGAGCAGCAAATGTGTGTGGAATAGAACAACTCTTTGTTAACTGTATGAAGACTAGAATGAAGCCAGACGTGTTCGTTAATTGTTAATTGACCTGTATTGTAACAGAGCAGAGGCATCACTCAGTCCTGGGTCGATCACCGCTGCTTGTAAATCACTGATTAACTTTGCTGAGAAAAGCTCCAGCTATGTGTGTTGACAGTTACACACCCAGTACGTTATCGCTTCCTCACCGTGACGCCGGCCGACTTGGTTTCAGTTGCAAGTTTCGTTCACCCACAAAAGAAATCTTGCCCCGGCTGCCTTTGAACGGCAACGCCTGTTTGTCTCAGAAACTCCATCCCAGTGGGAAAGTAGCTGAGCCCCAGAGGCGCGGTGCGTCACCGGGTCATCCAATGTTTGATTTATCACGATGTGGATGTTTTTTCTTCTCAGTCCACTGGGTCACTGATTAACCTGCCTCTTTTACAGGGACTCTGGCGGCAGGCGAACACAGTTTCCAGTTCCAGTTTCTCATTCCAGGTGAGTGCAAGCGCCCGTTCCTCCATGTCGAAGCCCCGCCCTCCATTCCCTTAATTGTTTTCTCGTGGACCTGCTTTATCTAAAGTCCAGAGAGACGTCAAGAGAACGAGCACGCAGGTCCAATAACCTGCGGTAACACTTCTTCTAATCTCTGCTCTTTGTCTCACCCACATAGCAGTTGTGTGAAAGTGTGTGAAGAGTCATTGTGTTATGATCAGGAGGAAGTTTGGCTTTCTGATGCCGCTAGTTCACAGACACGTCCTCAATGTGAATAAGTGATGGTTGCCTGAGGTCTGACACTGCAAAACCAGAACTGTGCAAATCATTTGATCAGCTGAACACACTTGCCACCTGGGAGGGCGCAGACACACACACACACACACACAGCGCAGCGTCTGTTATCTTGCTCTCTCAGGCGTGGGCTGAAACACAGGGTGGTGCGGGTTATTTATAGTCCCCTCTCCTGTTGTTCAGTCACTGTTTAATTGCTCTTCATGCACCCATGCTCGTCCCCCTCCTCTTTCAGACTTGGGAGCATCAGCACGGAGGCAGTGTTGACTATCATGTTGTGATAATTGACTCAGGAGAGAGGTGTCTTCTACTGACCCCTGCTGGTGAAGCAGACACACTCACGTGCTCTTGATTATCACAGACATCCTGTTTACGCGTCCAGAGAGTCAACCTCACTGTCGTCATTTAGACTTTTAAAGAAATTCAATTAGAATTCTTAGAATCTGCCAAAGCTGATCGGCCACTTTACCATGTTGAGATCAGACACATCCAGATCATTACACACTCCTGCATTTTGTCTTCTGATTTGTATTTACCTATTTCCACTTTTTGTAAATCTCGTTTGCAGTGTCCCTGAAATGACTTGTTTGGTAATTTGCAGGTCAAAGGTGATTTAAATTGTCTCAATATTGAGGTAGAGATTCAGCTCAGTTTATGGTCAGCGTCCCGACATCTGTTGACCTGCAAACCAACAAGTGTTTCCAGGGGTTCTTAAAAGCATGATGACGTCAGCGTCTTGACATACGATTGCAGCTGAAAAAGTCAGAGGAAGGTCTTTGTCTGAGTCGGGCTTCGCCATCCTCAGCCACGAGCGGCTCAGTCTGCTGTGTCTCCAGGGAGAGCGTCGGCCTGGTGCTTCCCTCTGCCCTCAGTCAGTGCGTCTGCTGCCAAGCTGTCTGCAGCAACATCCCGCCTCCTCTGGTTAATTCTTATTGACAGTGGCAGCAGCAGATGTGTCTGCAGAGCTGCCGTCGGCCCCACTCACATTAACATCTGAATAAGGATCAGGGAGGGAAAACGGATAAAGTTGCAGTGCCACAGTGCTTCTGGGTTTTTAGTTTGACAACACGTTAATGACTTTTATTTCTTTGGTGATTTAACTGCAGATTGTTTCTACGGATCACAGTGTCAGCCAGCATCTCTCCTTCTGTCTGTCTGGCTGCTTTCTCCCCAAATAGTTATCTTATCTTACTCCTCATAAATTTCCTGCCCTCTGTTCTTTTTCCTCCCTGTTTCCTCCTCGTCTCTGTCCTCTACTTGTGTCCAAAAAAGAATCCCTAAATCTTTACAGCTCCTTCATGGACGACACTTTTATCCCATGTCTTCACCCCACTAATGGTGCTCAATAGAGAGCATACTTTCTCACGAGCTCTGTGGGGATATGTTCAGTAATTTTTATGTTGTCCCGACAAACAAAAAAGGTCCGGGGTGAAAACATAACCTCCTTGGCAGAGATAATAATGTCTTCTCCTCATCCGTCTCTGCAGTCGCTGCCCCGACTTCCTTCGAGGGACCATTTGGGAAGATTGCTTACCGTGTGCGAGCCGCCATCGACACACCCCGCTTCTCTAAGGACTACAAAGCCCAGAGGCCCTTCTACCTGCTCAACCTGCTGAACCTCAATGAGGTGCCCAACATTGAAGTAAGTGTTCTGTGCACAAATCTATAACTTTCATCACCTCATTCCTCCTTTTTCCCTTTACTAACTTAAATGTTGATGTCGTTTCTGGAACTGGACTGAATTTTTTTATATATAAAAGCTCCAGACGGAAGGAGAAGAGAGGTCTGGTTAAATGCATCTCTTTATTTGATCAGCCTTCTGTCTTATTTGATTTCACGGCAGAGAAGGATCTCTATTCTTTTTCCCCTTCACTCTGCATTGCTCACTTATCATTCTCTCTCTTCCCGTCATGGCTGCCAGTTTCCTGATTCTCCAGAGCTGTGCAGGAATAGATTATCAGCACAGGGCCTGCTAATGAGTCGTCTGAATTGAACAATGCACAGACAAACATTTATCCTGCGACTCTCTGCAGAAATTGAGCTACGCTGTGACCACAAAGAAATTCAGCTATCTCCTGGTGAAGACGGGGACCCTGATGCTGAAAGCGCGCAGTGACATGAGGGGCTACATCCCTGGGCAGGTCATCAAGTTAGCAACTGAAATCCACAATAAGTCTGGGAAGGACACGGGATGTGTACTGGCCAGTCTCATACAGGTAGACACTGGATGATCAGACAACCATAATGAAAACATAACCTTTGTGGAAGTAAAGAGACTGTAACCATTATTCCACACCCTTCATAGTTGTTTCCTCTCCAAAGTACCATTGATATGATCACAGCCACTGTACAGTTTTATGTGCTGGAGCAGGGTGAAGCTGTTTGAAGATACCATCATATATTTTTACGTCTGCATCTCTCTCACACCAGAAAGTGACCTATAGGACCAAGAGGCCTTTGTTTGACCTGCGGACCATCGCAGAGGTGGAGGGAGCCGGAGTGAAGGCAGGAAAACACGCTGAGTGGAGGGAGCAGATCATCGTCCCTCCTCTTCCTCAGTCAGTCCTCGCAGGCTGCAGCCTCATAGACGTCGACTATTTCATACAGGTCATTAACAGTGTTGTATTATTAAATAGTGGAATCTACCTGAATGACATAACTGTTTAATAACAATATAATTAAGGCCTATATGTCCTTCATAAAATAAATGTGTGTTACAGGTGTCGCTGAAGTCTCCGGACGCAGTCGTCACTCTGCCCATCTACATCGGCAACATCGCTGTGAACTTATCTCCATCGAGGACCATCCCCTCCAGTCCGGACCACTGCTGCGGCACCATCGCACCCAGCGCCGCCGGGGTCACGCCCAGTGCCCCACCGGCGGAGGAGGAGCCAGAGGAGGGATTGTGTGCAGGGGGCATGGCAAGCGAGGAGATCCCGACCAAGAGTCACTCTCAGCAGGATCCCTCGGGTCAGCCGGTCACTATGTCGCCCAGCGCCTTCAGCCACGCACCAGGTGCAGCGCTGCCTCCCGGCCACAGACGACCCAACACGTCTGCTCCACTGTTCTGCCTGTCCACCGGGGCCACCATACCTTTCTTCACAGAGGGAGACGTGACTCCTGTACCCACTTCCTGTTCGCTCATTCTCCCTCCAGAGTACAGCAGCTGGGACTACCCTCATGGTCAGTTATCCACATGACCTCACACACATGCAAACACAGTTTATCAGTGTGAGGGACATAAATTTAAAAACTTCCACTCATGAAACCACATTTAAATTCACTAGATCCAGATTTTTATTTTATTTATTTAAGAATCAGCCTGGTTCTCTTCTAGTGTCTCATCTTGTACTCATGTTACATAATCTGGAAAAGTGGGTGTGACTTTAACTCCAGTTTAACTGACCCGTGTACGCCTCTGTGTTTCAGAGCCTCCACCCACTTACGAGGAAAGCTGCTGTAGCGCCAACTCCAACTTCAACAGCCGACAGTAGGAGAAGCAGGCGACGAAGCCTCGTGACCACGCCCACCACCACCTGTCTGCACTCGCCTGTCGACCAATCAGAACCATCAGACACTGAAAGAGGATGGACGGTAGACCCCCCCCACCCCCTTCTCCAACACCCCAAAGATTTTTTTTATCCTTCTTTTTCCTCTAATAATTAAAAAAGGGATCATATCTTGTATTGAATATAAGAATTTTAATTTCCCCTCATGTCCCTGCAGGTTGTGTCATGTGACTTTTCACTGTGCCTAAAAGACAGATTTTGGATTGTCGCGCAGCATTCAGTGGTTGGACACGTTTCTCCTTTTTACTTGGTCATCAGTGAATCATTGCATCTGTGATGCCTTGAAAATGATTGGGGCCTTTTTCTGTTTGTGTTGTCGTTCTAGTCGTGCACTTGTTACTGTTGCCCGCTGCTCGTCCATGTGTGTGCTCATCTTGAGCGAGGCAGAGGTGTCTTCATGCTGGATGTCAAGAGGAGAGCTCACAGCCACAGCTCCTGGTCTGTGTGTAAAACTATCCAAACTCCCACGTGTTGCACCTTTTTAAACCATCACAGCATCTTTCAAATCCTGCACACAAGAAAAATAATAATAACCTCTCAGTTGTGTAACTTTAAACACAGGTGGCGGTAAAAATATTCAAAATACTTCTATTTAATTGCTTTATTGACATGAATGCATGAATGAATAAATTATTCAATATATACTGTATGTTGAGAAAATTCAACACACAGAAGAGCATGTTCACTGTAATTTATTTGGAAGTAATAAATAACTTAAAGATATAGATTATTAATTTTATTATTATCATCATTGTGATAATACGTCAATGTGCTGTCACCCTGTGTTGAATCATACAACTGAGAGGTTTTGCTTTGAGACCAGTTTTGTATTCTGGAGACAGTTTATCTGCGGATGAGGCTGATTTTTCTGCAGCTGGACTCAGGACTGCAGCACAGATGCAGTGTTCCTCTGCTCTCTTGTGGCCACAGCTGGTAAAAGCTTTCCTCTCAACTTGCTCTTGCAGCCGGAGTGATGAGCCATGCAGACTGAAACGCTTAATGGAGTCCCTGAGTCTTCAACGCATCATCTGAGGTCTGTTGTATAAATGTACATTTTAGTTTCTTGCAACCGTCTGTTGAGCAGAGTTGGAAAATGGAGGTTTGAGATACAGAATATTTAGTTTTTAGAAGTGATGTGGGTGTTCTGCATCATTGTTCCTGTTAGGCCACAGACTGTGAGTTGTTTCTCTCCTCTGTGTTGCCTTGACTTTCTTCTAGTGCAACATCAATGAGAAGAGAATCCTCTGAGATGAACATGTGCACGACACTGCACTTTTTGAGTGTGTGTATTTGTGTATGTCTGTGAGTGTGTGAATTAGCATGTATGTGTGTGAAAATTAGCGTGTGTGTGTTTTCACATGATCTCAAAAGTCATGTTTTTTACCTGCATGATTTCAGTTTAACAGCAACACAGTGTAACAGCGCCCTCTGCAGCCACACATTGTGATTCATTCTTTGACTGAGTGTGTAGTCCCACTCACTGAACAGAGGAGCTGCCACTGAAACAAAACGACCGAACTCTGTTTAGAATTCTTCATATTTAAAATATAAACGCGGTTTTTAATGACTTCCATGTTTTTTTAAACTGATCCACAGTTCAGCTTTACTCTTCAACTTGCTGGACCTGATTCTGACAATTGAAGCTGTGACTATCAGTCAGTTCCACACTTGAACCATCAAACTAATTTTAACAAATCTGCTTTGTATAGTGTTGCTTTAATTCTCAGAGTAAAAGTGTAATTTAATGATTTAATGTTGTCACCATTGTCCAAATTTATTATTCAAGAAAAGTTTTTGTTTTGCACATGTACAATGTTTGATCTCATGTAATCAACAACAGCTCATTACTTCTGTTTTATTTACCCACATTTATCTTATTGTGTCTTTTATTCATGACGGAAGATATCCTTTTTTTTTTTTTTTTAAAAGGCGAAACCCAACACATACTCGTGGTTGCTTTCCTGTGGGAAACTAATGCCACTGAAAATCTTAAGCACAATTTAGACTGAATGTTTGCGTGTCTGTTGGTGTGTTTGTCTTATTCCACCAGTACGATCTCAAGTTAAGATTCAAACCTGTGAAATAACAGCTCTGGTATTTTTTCTCTCCTGACTCAAGATCATGTGCCCACAGGTTTTTTTATGTAAAATGTCCACAAACTGATTTTACAATAGTGTTCTGGCTCGACATAATTCTGATTGCATGCCTTAAACACTGTGGACGTTCATCGCCCCCTACAGGAGCCTGTGACGCTCTCTCTGTGAACTGTGCTAAGTGCACTTGATGTAAACAAATGTAGCTTTTAAAAAATGGTGACACTGGACCTTCAACTGGTTGAATGTTTCATTTTTACTATTATTATTATTATTATCGTTTTAGAAAATTTGCAATTCCTCTCATCTCCAAGAACTCTGCAGCACCGGCCTGGTTCCCTGAAGTATGAGTTCACGTTGCCTTTTTTTAAAATCACTCCCAATTCTGTTGACGTCTTCTTCACCAGAAGGTTCAGAAGCTTTACGGTGTGAAGCCCCATTTATTTTTCACTCTCTCTTGTCGTCACACACATTGATGAGTGGTGTCTGGTTTTGTATTTTTCTACTTGTAAACTGTTTACAGGTGCAGTATGCAGATAATATAATGTCAGCACCTTGATCAGTAAATGTAATATTTCAACTTACAGTGCAGAATCAAAGTTGTACTGTACAGAATAACAATAAAAAATAATGATAACATTGAAATGTGTTTGTTGTTGATGTATAGACAGATAGATAGATAGATGTGTTTGCCTGCCAGCCCACTCCCACAGAGGCGATGACATACAGTATATTAGTGTAAATTAGTAATGAGAAACATTAGCCACCTGTTTTCAAAGTGGGTCCACTGTAATTTTGTTTGTTTTTTGGTTTGAACTGAAATCACAGATTATACGATGACACCCTGACCGTGTATGTTTGTGGTTTACTTTCTTTGCTCAAGTGAACAAGGCACTTGTGAGGTTCTGACTCAACCCCCACTGGTAACATCTGTTGGCTGCGAGTGAGTCAAACTGTAGCACACAGCACAACCACATCACACACTGGCTCTAGGGACATAAACATCCCATCCAGAATATTTGGTATCATGAAAATGAGGGTTTGAAGTGTTTGTGTGGGGGTGAATACATTTACAAATGTCACTAAGTGGAACTAAGAGGGCATTAGTGAACTGTCTCATGATGTGGGGCTGCTGTTGAAAAGATATCGCTCCACGCAGATCTGATATATCTGACATATCTCATGGAGCTGCTATAGGTTGCCAGATATTATTCTCTTTACATATCAGCAAAATTACTTTTAGGTATTTATAACTACAAACTGTTCAATGTGATGCAAACCCCATTCTTCTGTCGACAGTTTGGACTCCAGCATGTAAAGAGGTGAATCTTCCAGCAGAGGGAGGCAGCAGAATGTCACAGAGCAACAGGTGGGAGACGGAGCTGCTGAGAATTGCATCGCAGCATTTTCATTGTCAGGAACACATGACCAGTGGAGCACATTTTTAGTTTCAGTTTTGACTGAGGCCGGATGATTAGAGCCAATGTCCTGTACTACTCACTATCCTCCTAATCCACTGTGTCCCTCTGGGGTTACTCTAAAAACTTTAAGTTTAACACATTAGACATAATTCTAAAGACATCTGAAATAATCTGGCATTGTAAAATTGTTATTGGCTCAATAAATCCCCCACAAGCAAAGTGATTGTCCTCCTGCTGAAAATGTTAACATGTTAGACATTCTATAAACAAATCTGACTGCTCTATAACTGCCGATATGAGACTCACAATCAATACATCGAACTGATAGGAGAGGTGAAAGATAAGTGGTGCATTATATCACATTATTATACAATATATAAATATATAATAAAGGATGCATTACAATAGATATAACAAAAGTTAGGGGGATGGGAGCAGACTGACAGGTAGATCGACTCATGCTTCAGTGAAGCAGATGGACAGACGAGACAACAGATTGAAAGAAAAGAACTGTGCAGATGGAGGAGCGGTCAGAAGATTTGAATTAACACCCACACGCTGCCTAAAGTAAAAAATACCTCATTAAACTTGGTGTATTATTGTTGATATTCACTGCTCTGCTGCTCCTAATGAGACTGTTGTACTGCAGCTGACAGGTCAGGGGTCAGAAAGAGGAAGGCCGGATCTGTTTGAATTGGAAATCCCCTTCTCTGACGAGTGGACGGAACACAAACTGTCGCTTTCAAATTGTCCTCCCCATGAGTCTGTACATCATGGAACTCAGCAGGATGTGATTGGCTGTTTTTGCTTTATAGAAGATTTAGGTCAAAGCTCAAAGTCACTTTACACATAAACAGCCTAAAAAAGAATGCATGGCTTGTTCCTCTGTAATGACTTTTAAAGGTTAATAAGTATTTTTAGAGTCATAGTGTAAGTGTAGGTAGATATTCTCCATTATTATGAGACTAAAGATGGAGCCACCGGTTTATCAGACATCTGCATTTGTTCCAATATGACAACATAAAAACCGATAGCAGTTTCTGTTGAAACTGAATAAAAGAGGTGTTGATTCTACCCTGCGGTGATTTTGTGGCTGTATTGTTGTGTCGTACTGTGTCACAGTGACACGTGTGCTTTTCTGCCTCCATTTATGTTCCTGGTATAAAAGGTCACTGCCTTCGATAATGAGATGTTATTGTCACCCAGTTTATCGTCCGCTAAATGTAGAGCGCTGGAGCCATTAGTGGGTTTAATGTGCATACGTTCTCATAACATCAACAGGTGGCATAATAACCAGATAAATCAGGGGTCTGTCTCATGGAGGCAAAATCTGGGAAAGCTTATTTTAGTTCCATCCTTGTCCTCATGTGGAGGGTTTTACTGTGTAAAATGGAGGTTTATTGTGGTTATGACAATGAAGAGTTATTTGTGATCTGCTGGGTTATGATGAGCTGGTTGAGGAAACACATTCTGCTTATTCAGTGTTGTTGCACACGTGCGAACAATTAGTGGAAGACAGACGTTTAGTGTCAAAATTCCCTGAATGCCACTTCTTGTTCCTTCCCCTCGGAGGCTGATGTGAATGTTTTTTGTCAGTCAACAATATATGTGAATAATAAATGGGATTCATTAAATGCAAATCTATGTGTATTTGTCTTCGCACTTATCTCATCTCAAAGAAGGCAAAAAATTATCAAAACATGACTTGAGAATGAACTTGATCCAAATTAAAAGATTTAGTTCATAAGATCAGATTTCCTTCACATTATAATTGTTTTTATGATTATCGACAATTTTTTTTTTGCATTAAATTATTATGTCAAACAGTTGGTGACAGTCATATGTTAATGATAATGCAATATAGATGTGTGCATGTGTTCATTATCAACATATTTCTTTATTATCAAGATTTTTAACACAGTTTTTAAACAGTAACAGTTTGATTAATGGCTTTTGTGGCTAAACCAATGCAGTTTGTGTCATTTTCTACAGTGACTTTAGATGATAAATCACTAAAGAAGTAAATATAATACAAAGTAAATATAAAACAAGGTTATATAAAACGCTTGAAGGTAAACAGCAGGATAATCCCTGTGTTTCACATCACATTCCTCTGACCCTGGATCAGTGTTGACAGCTCAGACACTATAATCCCTCCACACACGACCCGCCCCCCTTGATGACTGACAGCCGGCTCCTCCAATCACACGGCGCGTTGACTGGTCTGGCCTCCTTCCTCCTCCTCCTCCTCCTCCTCCTCCTCCTCCCCAGTCCCACTCTGCTCCGCTCCTGTCCCGCGGCTTCTCTCCAGTCTCTCCGGGGAACAGCCATGGAAGGCGACAACATAATAATGCCCGTCTGACTCGGCGGAGGAGGCTTTTCAAGGTGAGTGTCGAACCCCCGGGAGGAGCGAGGGGACGTTAGCGGGCAGGAAGTTGTGCTGGCGGGGGGCGAAAAGTTTCTCCGCCCGGACAGGAGCGGGAGCGGAGGGGGATCCACTCCGGAGATGTTCCCGCTGCTAGCTTACGTGTTGCTCCCTCTTTAGCTCGTGTAGCTTCCAAAACACCTCCACACATGTTGGAGTGCGGCGCCGTCATTCATTGTTTTTTAATGTGTGACACATGCGACGTGTTTAAATTTACTTCTTAGAGCTTTTATTCTGAATGTTGGAAGTTAAACGCAGCAAACAAGAGAAAGAAAATCCAATATTAATATTAATGGATCCTTTTTTACTCGATTTAAAGTTTGTTATGAGAGTTAGATTCAATCAATACGTGTGATTTCATGTGTTTTTGTGGTATTTAATGTGAAATGGTTAAATTGTTGGTCTTTAAATTTTATTTTAGAGCTTTTACTTTGAATGTTCTTGGAAGATAGAAGCAGCCAACAAGCAAAAAAAAAAAAAAAAAATCAATATTATTATAATTTGATGCTTTTAACTTGATTCAAAGTTTGTTATGAGGGTTATATTCAATCAATATGTGTGATTTAAAGTGTTTTTGTGGCATTTAATGTGAAATAGTTAAATTGTTGGTGTTCAGATTTCCCTTTAGAGCTTTTATTTTGGAAGCTTTTGGAAGACAGAAGCACAAAACAAGCAAAACAATCTAATATCATTATGAGTAGATCCATTTTGCTTGATTTAAAGTTTGTTATGAGAGTTATAATCAATCAGTATGTGTGATATGATGTGTTTGACATAGTGTGTAAACTGTTGGTGCCACATGTTGCTGCTGCTGTGTGTTGGGCTCAAATTTGATTTTAGAGCTTTTATTTTTGAGGTTTTGTGAATCAGTTGCTGCACACTGTTATTATAACATAAGAAATTTAGTTTGACTTAAAGTTTGTTACCTTTCTTAAAGTCAATCAATAGGTGTGATTGAATGTGTTTTTTTGTGGCATATCTATTGTGAAATGATTGTCAGTTAAACATGAACATGGGCTGTTGATGCTACATGTTGCTGTATCTGTATTCTAGGCTCAAATTTGAGCTTCAGCAGTTGTTTTGCTTCTATCTCTAGAGGCCAAGCATTAAAAAACAAACTGCAGCATATAAATGAATCACTGGAATCGTGATAAGCACTTGTTGATGTGATAAACAACACTGCTCTTCATCTTGCTCTTTCCTATTGTATATGTATGTGGACAATTACAGCCCCAGCGCAACAGTAAAGGTTAAAGTACTGCAAATAGAAACACATACAGTGTACACATAGCCAGACAGAGACAGTGGGACGGGGTCTTGCTACAGATGTGCATTCCTTCAGCCAGTGCAGCGATCGCGCCTTTAAATAGAGCTCGACAGGAATGCAAACAGTCCAAGCAGAAAGATGAAGCCTCTCAGGGGTACGAGAGGTGAGGAAGGTGGAGGAAGGAGGCAGAGAGACGAAGCAGCAAGCTCTGTTGTTCAAAAGATTTTTGCGTTTTTCTTAAATATCTTGGCATCAGAACCAAAATTTTTACCCATCCATAGTTTAAAGCCTCCAGGAAAGACAAGGTTAGGTCATTAAGAGGAATGAGTATAATGTGGGGACTTGCATCACAAGGTTGCACCTTGCATATGAGTGGCAGGATTTGAGCCCTACCTGCAAATCCAGTAACCTGATGTCAAAGTACGCTTGTGTTTATCAAACACACCATCCGCCCTGTGATGGCTATAAGAAATGATGTAGCTAAAGGTGAAATCAGCATTATTGACTGAGTTTGTTTGCGCACACAAGGAATTCAAGTCATACTCCCACACAATAATTATATTTCAAGAAGACACAAGGACATTTTGTCAAAACAATGACAAATGTAATGTAATGATGAGATACGTAATGTTGGACAGAGCAAATGTTGTAGAGGTCACCGAAGGCGATTTTAACTTGCTTTGTTCTTGTACTTCACTTTTGAATTGTTTATTTGTTTTAATTGGCAGAAAATGTCAAATCTGATATGAATCAGGGCCGCGATCAGAGAGGATGTGATTGTCGTCATTATTGCAGAGCTGTATGTAAGTCTGTATTAAAGCCAAAGTAAGTTAGTGAAATCCCAGGATTGTACTGTGTTTGCGGGGGTTTTCAAGTATCCAGCTGGAATTGTTTATGTAGAACATCAACACCAAATGTAAACGCATTTGTATTTCTGGCATATAATACTTAAAATAGTTTTAGCATATTTTTCAAGGAACTGTGGTTGTTATATATTTCACTCCATGGCATATTGTAATCTGTTGTATTAAGTTGCTTGACGTGTTATTGGTTTGTTCAGCACAGACGTCATGGTCAGGTATCGGGTTGGTCAGAGTTAGGTACATGCAGCCTTTCAAAGTAAAGTTGTCTCTATCTTATTTGGGTGTTTGATAGAGATCAACCCATTCACATATGGCTGTTGTTACCATACTGAATTCTTTTGGTTGTTTGGGAAAGGATTCACCCTCATCAGCCAGTTACTTCAGCCTGTCCTGCAGAGTTTATATGTCCTAGGTTTTCAGTGGTTCCCTCTTTCTTCAGTGTTTATGTCTTTGCTTTAAAAAACTATTCAGCTAATTTTACCTCATCAGTTGAGTCTATGCAGAGAGTTGGCTCTTTGTTGTTCCGTCTGTCCCAGCCAGAGTCATTATAAGCTGTGTTTCCACGTTTACCCATGTTGCTGTAGTGTTGCTTGATTTATTTTCCCGTAATTGTTCTATAGTCTCATGCATTACTGCCACTTGGTGGACTGTTTTAGCTGTCAGGTGTTGATACGTCAGCCGGCAAACTTGACTTATCTCCCCTGGTTTCAAGGCTGAAGTGGAAATGCAGGTGAATAACATTTCCTTTAAAAGAGTTCTTGGGAATAAAAGTTCCAGGTACTTTTAAACATGGCAGACTCTGAGTGAAGACAAACCTCTGGCCTCTCTCTGCCTCATCTCTTTTCAATTATAAGAGATTTTCCTGGATTTCACTTCAGTCTCTGGGTGGCCTGATCGTGAAAATATAGTTTCATTCTCTAGTCTGTCACAGTCATAAAACATCAGCTCTTTTACTGGGTTTACCACTTTACCACAGTAAAACTAAAAGTACACAGAGAAAGACAAACCTAAGACACCTTGTTGTTTACCACTGGGGAGGTAGCCTACCCATGGATTAAAGTCTCTTTCGCTCCATATAAATAGAAGACTGGAGTGTATTTATGATTTACAAACATTGTGACCAAAAAGCTTTAAAAAAAAAAACACAAAAAAAAACCTTTATACAAATTCACATTTGTAAAACATACAGTGAACAAATGTGCTCTTTGGACTCTGAGGTTACACACATATCCAAAAAAGAAAAGGGTAATCCAAGGTGCTCAGTAACACCTTGTCTCATAGCTTCGGCATAACTGATGTTTTTTATTTTATTCTTCCTAAGGGTTTAAGAGAAAGTATTCAGACATGAAATATTCAGAAATAACTAAATAGTGTACACACGGAGACTTCATGTAAACTGCAGTGTTGAGAAGGTGGAGGATTTACATTAACGTTCTGAGAAATACACTAAAGTAGAGTCTGTTTTGGGTCAAAAAGTTCTTCCCTATAACACATTTATTAAGAGAAGTACCTCTAGTAACAGTTAAGGGTGGGAGTAACCTTTCACAGGTTATTTTAGGTAATCAAATGATTAATCACATGATGGTGTAGAGAAATAATCAATCAAAGACACAAATTTAAACGACACTTGCCCCATTGTTTCATAGAAAGCCTGATGTCTATTTTAGCAACTGAATAAACTGAGGCGTAGAATTGTGCTGCATAGTCTGACATACTGTCTTTTGTTCACTTTCTGTAGTGCAGCTCAGTTAAGCTCAAGTCACCTCCAAACACCTCAATCTACTATGAAAAAGGTGCTGTTATTCAACTTCGGCTGATTCCCTGCAGACAGCTCCCACTGGCAGTCCGATCGCTGCACTCGCTCGGGCCAAAAACCACATGCGCACACACATCCACACAAAGTATGCAGAGTCTCCACTTAGACCTTGACACAGACTCGTGCGTGCACATATACATGCATAAGCGCAAACCCAGACGATCCCATATGCATGCACATAGAGCTAAACTCAGTCCAAGCCTCTTCTCCACACACTCATATTTCACTAGTCACACACACAAGGCCCACGGCAATCAACTTTAAATTAGAGAGAACGCTGCTCCAAGAACTTGAGTGGCGCTTGCCAGGTCTGAGGCCATAACTGTTCTTAGTGTGTGTGTAGGGGTGTGTGTGAGAGGGAGAGAGAGACAGAAGGAGCCAGCTCTTGATATTAAACCAACTTTGAGGGGCCTAGATTGGGGTTTTTCTCCTCCTCTATGCTGCTGTTCATGCACTTTGTCCCTGTGTGTTTAACTGTTCACTGCTCTCAAGGAGATATTTTGCGACTTGTCACTGAATTGCACGTTATGTGAGTCCAACCTGGCTTAAATTTCATTCCTACTTCTGCCACGATTGTCCACTTTTGCTACAGTTCCCAGCCACAGCTCCAAGCCACAAGGTCAAGCCGCTTAAGTTTGGCTTGACCCTGTGGTTCGTAGCTGTGGCTTCTTCTGAGGTCTGCTGACCAGTTAGGACTGTGATAGTGTGGTGATAGTAAAAGTGTGATATTTGTTGGCCAATATGGGTTTTTTCCATGGAAGAAAAAGTGTGGTGTGCTCCTCGAGCAGCTAATGCCAATGTCACTGTTAACTCAGCCCATTCCATAATAAACGTCTCCCTGTATGAATCCATGGTGAATCATGGCTGGATATGGCAGTGCTGCAAAGAAACCCTACTCACTCTTTGATACACGGTGCATGATGCCAAACATCTGAAGTTTGCCGCATCTGTTTCTGATAGAAAAACTGATTTTTGCCAGCGGACTCCATTTGTTTCGATGGAAATATGTCAAAA